AATTTGCCTTTTTATTATAGGCGATGATGTAGCGACGTTCGAAAAGATAATAAGGAACATTTATAGTAAGATCGAGCGCACACACGTGTATATTACCCGAACGAGGTGTTGTTGTTTGTGTGTAACACACAACCTCTTCCCTCGTCTCGTCGTGTACGCGAGTGCGTATCTTTTTTATAAATCTTATTGAAAATCTTTTCGTCGTCCCACCATCATATAATACGTATAATTTTCGAACGCACCACGCCGTATAGAGCGCTTCTAGTACGCGCGAGCGCGCGCTCGGGGTACGTTCCGACACGCGTATATCGCATAGACATAATATTGTGTTGTATGCGTATGCGTATGTACACCGTGTCTCTACGACGTCGTCGTCTGTAACGGATGGCGATATTTTCGACGGGTAACTCTATATGGGAGAAGAACGGAGATATGTCGTCGTGTCCGCACGACTCATTTCCTTCTTTTCCGGTTGTTTTTAAAGATATTCGCCCGTTAGTCGAAATTTCTACGCCATACGAAAAGACGGTACAAGAGGACGACACGTGTTGTACGCTTAATACATACATATATATTCATGTTATGTACAACTCTGTTGTAGTGTTATTTGTACCCCTTGCACACGCGTATGCTATAGAAGCGCGATACGGATAGAATGCGCGCGTACACGAGAGACTTCGTCGGCACGCTCGTTGTTATAAACGCGCAAAAATAATTTTGCGCGTTTGCCGCGCAAAATACACGAAGTCTCCGTGAGAAATGCGCGCTTTCTTTTTTTATATATTTTCTTTAATAACATAGCCATTATCATAACAATAAAGACGTATCGATATATATTTTATATATATAGAGATCGTCTAATTAAAAAACGATTACCCTGAACGGTGAATCACTTGGCTCGTGGGTCGATGAAGAACGCAGCTAATTGCGCGTCAACTTGTGAACTGCAGGACACATGAACATCGACATTTCGAACGCACATTGCGGTCCTCGGATACTGTTCCCGGACCACTCCTGGCTGAGGGTCGTATCAATTTAAAAGACTGCTCGGTTTCCTCTCCGATCTCTGTTCGCGTCGTCGTATTATCTCTTTATCCGAGAGACGACGACGACGACGACGACATGAGAGAGGAGAATGAAACGTCGGAGCGTGTTGGATGTAGACGCGGCGGTACGACGCGACGACGCTAGTTATTATATATTTATTTATGTAATATCGTAAACGTCGTCGTCTTTGTCGTCGTCGCGGCATCTCAAAACGCGAAAGCGACGATTCGTTCGTCGTACGAACGAGCGTAAACTCGCACATAGAACGAACACGCGCGCTGTACGGATAAAAATCGTAATAGCACTACATATATATATATATATATATATATATGTATATATGCTGTAGTCGTTACGCGTTTCGAACTTGCGCTGCGATCGTCGTGTCCGAGAGAGAAATTATTTTTTTCGAGATAACGACGTCTGATCGCATATACGCGCTAAACACTAGAGAACGCTTTCGACTAGTAGTAGTATAGCAGCAGCAGCTATACGATTTAGTATTAGCGATCGCGTGTGACATATATATCTGTGTGTGGTGTTGTGTTGTATATTGTTAACCGACCTCAGAGCAGGTGAGACTACCCGCTGAATTTAAGCATATTACTAAGCGGAGGAAAAGAAACTAACTAGGATTCCCTCAGTAGCTGCGAGCGAACAGGGAAAAGCCCAGCACCGAATCCCGCGGTCGATATCGGGCGCCGGGAAATGTGGTGTTAGGGAGGATCCGTTTATCCCGAGGTCGCGCGGCGAGTCCAAGTCCTTCTTGAACGGGGCCACAGCCCATAGAGGGTGCCAGGCCCGTAGTGGCCGCTGCCGATCGCGGGAGGATCTCTCCTCAGAGTCGGGTTGCTTGAGAGTGCAGCCCTAAGTGGGTGGTAAACTCCATCTAAGGCTAAATATGACCACGAGACCGATAGCGAACAAGTACCGTGAGGGAAAGTTGAAAAGCACTTTGAAGAGAGAGTTCAAGAGTACGTGAAACCGTTCAGGGGTAAACCTGAGAAACCCGAAAGGTCGAAAGGGGAAATTCATTCGCGTTTCGGCCGTCGGCGATGAGCGGTCGCGCGACGGACGGCGTTCGCGCGTCGTCCGCGCCTTTCGCTTTCGATCCGGCGTCGAACGCGTGCACTTTTCCCCTAGTAGGACGTCGCGATCCGTTGGGTGTCGGTCTTACGGCTCGCGGTGGAGTCCGTGTACGATCGTTTCGGCGATTCGTGCTCGAACCCGCGATGTTCCGGCCGACTCGCTCGACGGTATACAGATGGCGCGAGGCCGCTACTTCTTCAATTAGCGTCCGACCCACGACAAGCACGTTCGATGCTAAGACGGCGATCGGACCTAGCGCCCGGTTCCGTCCCCGGACGACTGTTGGTCGTGCGGATTTCTCGGACAGACCTCGTTTGAAACGCCGATCTGCGACGCTATAGCTTTGGGTAATTTCAGGACCCGTCTTGAAACACGGACCAAGGAGTCTAGCATGTGCGCGAGTCATTGGGACATAACTAAACCTAAAGGCGCAATGAAAGTAAAGATCCGCCTAGCGCGGATTTAGGGAAGATGGGCGGCACGTCTATAAAGCGGCCGCTCCGCACTCCCGGGCGTCTCGTTCTCATTACGAGAAGAGGCGCACCAAGAGCGTACACGCTGGGACCCGAAAGATGGTGAACTATGCCTGGTCAGGACGAAGTCAGGGGAAACCCTGATGGAGGTCCGTAGCGATTCTGACGTGCAAATCGATCGTCGGAACTGGGTATAGGGGCGAAAGACTAATCGAACCATCTAGTAGCTGGTTCCCTCCGAAGTTTCCCTCAGGATAGCTGGCGCTCGTCTGTGACGAGTTTCATCCGGTAAAGCGAATGATTAGAGGCATTGGGGTCGAAACGACCTCAACCTATTCTCAAACTTTAAATGGGTGAGATCTCCGGCTTGCTCGAACTAATGAAGCTGCGAGAATCGAATCAGAGTGCCAAGTGGGCCATTTTTGGTAAGCAGAACTGGCGCTGTGGGATGAACCAAACGTCGAGTTAAAGCGCCTAAATCGACGCTTATGGGATACCATGAAAGGCGTTGGTAACTTAAGACAGCAGGACGGTGGCCATGGAAGTCGGAATCCGCCAAGGAGTGTGTAACAACTCACCTGCCGAAGTTACTAGCCCTGAAAATGGATGGCGCTGAAGCGTCGTGCTTATACTCGGCCGTCAGCGGCATGTGCGGTCTCGATCCGCGTAAAAACGGATCGGCCATGAAGCTCTGACGAGTAGGAGGGTCGCGGCGGTGCGCGCAGAAGGGCTGGCCGTGAGGCCGTCTGGAGCCGCCGTCGGTGCAGATCTTGGTGGTAGTAGCAAATACTCCAGCGAGGCCCTGGAGGACTGACGTGGAGAAGGGTTTCGTGTGAACAGCCGTTGCACACGAGTCAGTCGATCCTAAGCCCTAGGCGAAAGCCGATGTTGATGTGGCGTTGTTTTATAAATATATGTATGTATGTGTGTATATATAAAGAACACGCCCGTCGGGCGAAAGGGAATTCGGTTCCTATTCCGAAACCCGGCAGCGGAACCGTACAATAGTCGGGCCCTCGCAAGAGAGTTCGTCGGGGTAACCCAAAAAGACCCGAAGACGCCGTCGGGAGACCAGGGAAGAGTTTTCTTTTCTGCATAAGCATTCGAGTTCCATGGAATCCTCTAGCAGGGAGATATGGTTTGGAATGCGAAGAGCACCGCAGTTGCAGCGGTGTCCTGGTCTTCCCCTCGGACCTTGAAAATTCGGGAGAGGGCCACGTGGAGGTGTCGCGCCGGTTCGTACCCATATCCGCAGCAGGTCTCCAAGGTGAAGAGCCTCTAGTCGATAGAATAATGTAGGTAAGGGAAGTCGGCAAATTGGATCCGTAACTTCGGGATAAGGATTGGCTCTGAGGATCGGGGCGTGTCGGGCTTGGCGAGGAAGCGGGTCGCGGCTGACGTGCCGGGCCTGGGCGAGGTGAAACGTTCTGTCGTATGCGTTCGCGCGTGTGCGGTAGGATTGCGGATCCGAACTCGGTACCGTGCCTTGGCCTCCCGCGGAACCGTCTTGCTGCGAGGCCCAGAGTGCGCTCGCAAGGGCGTTCTGGTGTCCTCTTCGGCCGCCATTCAACGGTCAGCTCAGAACTGGCACGGACCGGGGGAATCCGACTGTCTAATTAAAACAAAGCATTGAGATGGCCCCTGCGGGTGTTGACTCAATGTGATTTCTGCCCAGTGCTCTGAATGTCAACGTGAAGAAATTCAAGCAAGCGCGGGTAAACGGCGGGAGTAACTATGACTCTCTTCTCCGCCGCTGAGGAGTGTGCACGTGTGTGCGACATAACGCGATTTTAAATACGACTCAAGAGGCACTACCGCGTCGCGGCGCCCACAAAAACGGGCAACACACGTGCGGTGGCGGGGTTAGTGCGTGGGAGTGGAGACAGCGGGGTGAGTACCAAGGGCTGGTGTTTATAAGCAAATACTTTTAAACAACGCGATTCTAACCTAGAAACCTTGCAATAAAGGTTAGAATCGCACGACGAACAGCGGGCCCCATATTGTCTTTGGGGCATCGCGCATCTAGTAGAATATCACACCAGCTCGACTGCCCCCGCAACGCCGGTTTCCGGCGTCTAGCCGCTACTGCCCTTTTGGCAGGTACATCGTGTCCGACGGGGCCAAAAAGGCGTCCAACAAATCATCTACCGGCCCCAAGGACACACACCAAATCTCAGCTCCATACGTCGACAGATAACGCCGTACTGGCCGTATTAAGTGCGGCCAGGTATTAGGAGAACAGGAGCTGGGAGGAGGTAGTTCCGGAGATAAAATCTTTAATACGTGATATCTCCGGAACCAGACTACGTAGCGGCAAACGGTTTTCACTCCCGTACGCAGAAAGGAGAATACTCTTAATCTTGCTGGTTACGGTCATCCTGCGCATGCGCAATGGCCGACCCGGCAAAGAAGAGGAGCAACCCCGCCACTTCGAGAGGAGGAGAGAGCCACACACGTGGTGCGAAGGCACCGCGTTTAGCCACCCGCGATGGCCCTACCGAAGGTAGGGGCGGAAAACCTAGAAGTCCGCCAGCGGGTGGCAACAAGACTGCCAGCGGCCCTCTAGCTGCTGGAACCAGTAAGGCAGGCCCAAGTAACCTATCCCCAAAAACAGGAGCCAGTGATGCGGCCAACCTGGGGCCTGCCAAACAGACAAGATACAATTGTGAGGACTGCGGGAAGGCGTTCTACACCAAGAATGGACTTACAAGACACAGACCCGCGTGTGGCACCGTAGAGCGGACCAAATGCCAGTACTGCGGGTCGGAGTTTTCATCTTTTACTGGCGTGCGACTGCATGAGCACAGGGCACACGCCGCTGCAGTAAATGACGAGAAGAGGGAGAGGCTGAAAGGCCGGAATCTGAACTGATGCAGATAATGGCGAGAATAGAAGCTGCCACTATAAAGGGGCAACCCTTTATAGACAGGATGGTTTCAGATACCGGCCTTACTCGCGACCAAGTGCGGCACAGAAGAAACAAACCCGTTTACAAGGAGTACCTCTGTGCCGCCAAAGAGATCCAAACAAACAATCTCCCTTTCCCTCGGCCTGTGCCCTCGGCTGGTGCAGCGCGCGCCAGTGCCCATGTGGAAACTCCTAACATCGAGGGTGAATCAGTCCACACTGAGACAACTGCGGAGCAATCTCCGCAGGATATTACCAACAAAGAGGACAGCGAAGACGACGGAGACGGTAAGACACCTAGAGCACATATTGTTGTTACACCAATTTTGCAGAACGGCGGTACGAAGCGACAACGTAATGAGTCGATGTCGCCTCTCATGCAGCCGACGCCTAGAAGGGCGCGATGCGATCACGACCTCACTCCCCCCCATGCACAGCCCAAGACCCAGGTTACTGTTAACCACCAGCTGCGCAGCTATCTCGTCACTGAGCGGGAGGCTGCGGCAGCTGACGGCCTGGGTCATGTTGTGGAGCTGTGCAATGCGGGTCTCGAGCTAGCCAACGTGCAGCTGGGCCCCTATATCGATGACTGGATTAAAAAGCACTTTCCAGAACAGCGGGGTGGTAAGAAGGGGGAGAAGAAGGGGAACAAACCCCCTCAGAGAAACTACGCCCAAATAACAACAGGGCGGGGTCCTAGGGCAGAAGGTTTCAAAAAAGCCCAGGACCTCTTCAACAAAAACCGTAGCTCTCTAGCGGAGAAAATTATTTCTGGAACTCCGCTAGACGAGAAGGAAGTTACTCCCCCTATTGACGAGGTCGAACGGTTGTATCGCGGCATCTTGGAGTCGTCTGCGCGAGAGGTGACAGACGTTCATAACAAACCGCTGACGGAGGACACGAAAACGTTCCTGCCCTTCAGGCAGGACGAGATTGAAAATGCCAAAACGTCTTGGGGCAACTCGGCGCCTGGCGCCGACGGAATTACAGTGTCCTCCGTGAAACGGGCCAACAACAGGGTGCTGTCCGTACTATTCTCTATTATTTTGATACGGAATGTGCACCCTGTTTGCTTCCGCCGTTCGCGCACTACTATTATTTATAAAAATGGTCAACGGTGTGACCCGGCCAACTGGCGCCCACTCACTATCGGGAGTGCCCTTCAGAGGCTGATGCACAGGGCGATGGCTAACCGCATACGGGAAGTCATCGCCCTGAGCACCAACCAACGCGGCTTCACTGCGGTGGATGGCACTCTCGCCAATTGTATGGTCCTTCAGGCCTACATTAGGAACAGGGTGGGCGCCGGAAAAGGGTACTGCGTCGTCTCACTCGACGTCCGTAAAGCCTTCGACACTGTTGGACATGGGAGTGTTGTTGGGGCGTTACGGAGATTCGGAATAGACGAGGGCTCCATCAGATACATATTGTCGACCTTGACCACCTCGGAGACCGCCATCAAAGTGGGTGGCGAGCAGACGGGGAGCATTCAGATTAGGCGCGGGGTCAAGCAAGGGGATCCACTTAGCCCACTGCTATTCAACATGGTAATTGATGAGCTGCTGAGCCGGCTTAACGACGGGAACAGGGGAGGCACGATCCTTCCTGGAGTGAAGGTCAGCGCTATGGCGTTCGCTGACGACATCATTTTGCTGGAGGACGAGGAAGTTAATCTTCCTCTGACGCTCAGCGAAGTGGTGGAGTTCGCGGGAGCCAGGGGCATGGTTCTGAACCCCGGGAAGTGCTCGGCCATGGTGGTAGGATCGGTGAAAGGGTCGCTAGTCCCAAGGAAAGAATATGGGCTAAAGATCGACGGGCGCCGTGTGGCCATGGTGACGGAAGTTAACAGCTTTCGCTACCTGGGCCACGATGCGTCTGTCGGTGGGATATTGAGGCCCTCACTCACCAACCTACCATCGTGGCTGTCTAACCTGAAAAGGTCCCGTTAAAGCCCGATCAGAAGCTCATAATAATCAAAAATTAT